ATTTCTCCTAGAGTTCTTTATACAATTTTTCAGAAATATTCATGAATTTAATATACGAACAATTCTTAAGAATATTATATCATGAATTATTATGAGAATTTTCTTCATGAGAGTGTTTTCTTTCCGAGTAGCAAGTTCGACGCGGGGAATTCCCAAATGATAGCTAAATCGTATGCGTCAAATGCAAACAATTCCTAGGAATTTGGCAGTGAACGTGACAACAGCTGCGTATGATGGCGGATGTTGTTTCTAGCAGGTCATTGGTACTATCCATGGTCGCGAATTTTCTAAAGTTGCGCGCAAATCCGCACAAAAAAGTTCACTGTAATGGAGCAAAAATGAGCGACAGCGTGGCATCGATAGCGTGGATTTAAATTTGCGTGTTTTTAAATTTACTTCCCTCGATTATTAACAAAAAGTGACTCGATGTTGTATATTTGCAATCAACTGAAGAAACAAACAAGCATATGATTTTCAAAGTCACATACACAGAGAAATATCATCCTATTGCCAAGAAAAGTGATTACTCAATTTATTTTGTTCCTTTTAAATAACAGTTATCTTTAACAAAGAATATTTTCTTAATAATTTTCTATTACTAAATATATTTATTACAAGTTTTAGAAAAACTCATTGTTATGTACAAAAAGAATTAATTTTCTTTGAAGAATATTATAATATTAATCAAAGAAACGATTTTATATAACCAAATCGAATTTGTTTTAATTTAATAATCTTAATTGAAGTATATTAAACTTACTAGGATTCAGAATATATTTTGAATAAATTTGATACTTGTAATGAACATATATGATAGATTTGCGGATATATGAACTTTCGAAATACTTGAAACAAATAATTATTACTTGCGTGCAGTATTTTTTGTATGCCTGTAGAAAAGTAAAAAGAGGAAAAATATTAAATAAAAAATATAATAGCGACGCGAAATAAACAATGAATATATGTATACAATGATGCAAAAATATATATGATACAAAAAGTGTTAAAAGACATTGCTTAGTTTGTTTTTATAACATAATTATAACATAACATTTTAAATAGCATTTTACATAAATAATTTGAAATTATCTATTCTGATTCAGTTATGGAACTGTTACGCCACTTTTGATCCAAGGGAAAAGAATGAAACTGTCATAAGATAGAGCAGGCTTTGTATTTTCACTGATCAATCTCTTAAAATAGTCACACACTTTCATTGTATATGTATATATAATTTTATCAGGCGCGCTTCTCTCTTTCTCTCTCTCTCTCTCACACACACATACTCTCATCCTCTCTCATTTCTCGTATCAGAAAAAATACAAAATTTCCGGCTGGAAAATAGTGTCAGTACAGATACGCGAACAAAAAACGTCGTAGATACAAGGGAGAGAAGGTGAAGATAAACAAAGTATCACACCATGAATGAGAAACCGAAAAAATAATACGTTGCCCTTGTCGTCCCTCGTTTCGCGACTCCCTATAAAAGGAATAAAATAAGATGGCACAGAAGGAGATAAACTTCCTTGAAAAACTTCGAAATCTCTCTATATGGTTCTTCGAATACACTCAAGGTTCAGATCTCGGTTCGAATGGACTTTTCTCGCGCATCTGAAACGCTTTGAGAATTCTAAACGGACGCTAAATTTGGAGCGCTGTATACAGGGTGTCCCGCGACAAACGCGTGGATTCTTTAAGGAATATAAAACTGGTTTTCTTAGCAAAAACGTGGCCTATTTTTTCATCACTTTATAAATTCCACAAACAAAGGTACATGTAAATTATACAGTTTCTATAGGCAAAAATTGTACTCATTAGAAAGAGAGCATAACATTTTACAAGGTTTGTTATTTACAGTTAAACTAGACACTCATTGTATGTATACATTGTAAAAAATATTTTATATCTTATTAGGAACTCCATTCAAGTTCTTATTAAAATTTTGTGTTGAATTTTTATTATTGTTATTTAAATATTTTGTTATATTGATATTCAACACTTCTCAGTGTCCAAAGAATACAATTTATGAGTGAATACATAACATAAAAATATGGTGTTTTAAAATGTAAATTCTAAAATATATATATATATAAATGAATAAAATATTAATTAAATGAATAAATATTAATTTTACTTAAAAAAAATATGCTTCCACGGTTTGTTATTTTTATATAATATTTGTGTTACTTTTTAATACATATTCCATTTTGTATAAAATTGACACAAAAATTTGAGTGGACTATTTGAGACACGTGAAAGGTGTTCAATTTAACTCAAATTTTTCAAATGTACTTGAAAATAAAATAGATATGTATTTAAAATTTGATAAAAGACAAAAATTTACTATAAACTTAGTACATCAATAAAGAACGGGCCTCTTATTTCAGTTTATCTTAGGCCAGTTATGGCCTAATTTTAGAACATCTCTTTCTCACTTATGTTAAAAAGAGAAAGCAATTGATGGTTAAAATTTCGTTCTCTTTTCAAATTGAGTACAACACTGATCGAAATATGCAAAGAACGAATTTTGCGCTTAGTTAGAGTTGCAAAATAAAAAAAAGAAACTAATTGGGTTGATGCACCTTGAGACAACAAATCAATGAACATAAGCATCATTTTTGTAAATTTCTCCTTGTTTAAACATGTGTATTTTCAGTTTAGAGACAGATTTGAATTTTAATTTTATAATCCATTCTATATTATACGGAATCCTCCTGGATGAAGAAATTTTTCAAAAAATACGTTTTAACCAGAGTTGCATACAAAATTATTTGGCTGGTTTTCAGAAAACCATCGTGTAATCTGTATGTACAACATTCACTTATGATCCAAAATCTGTATTTTGGCAACTTTTAAGTGTCTGTTAAAAGAGAATTCTAATTTGCACTAGATTATGCACGCATAAATTAATTTATGTCGCGGAACACATCCTGATGATAAATCTAGGAAAGTAAGAAACGAGGAACGGCGCACACATCGGTATTCTCGACGAATATTCATGACTCTAAAGTTTGTATGTGCACATGCTTCTTACACACATACGTGCCACTTTGTGTCGGCAGATGTGCGCGCGATACGCAAAAAATTATTAGCGTCAACAACAAACACACTTGCGAACACGAAATCATCTCTCGGGCAGGCATACAATAAATTAGAAATCAATGTTAACTTATCGTCATCACTGCCGTCACGTGCACGCTCTACATGATGTTATACCGAGTATAACGTCGAATATAAACCTTCCAAACAGACCAATTTTCCTGTATTGTGTCATAAAGAGTGAAAAGTAAAAAAAATCGAAATTTTGACTTGAATAGTAAACTGTGATGTGCAAACTTTATATAAAAAGTTCGTATATTATTTTATAAAATACAAATATGATCTTTTCCTGCGGTCATACCTAGAAAAAATTATGTATTTCCTTTACGTATAATCAGTAAAATTTGCTTGATGAATAATTCCCGCGGCATTTACGTGGCAAATTGGTCTGCTCGACAGGTGAATATATAACGAAACTACACCTGGCCTTCTATAGGATGTCCTCGAAGTTACGCGTCTGGATTCGCGATGAGACTTGAACCTTTTCCCCGCGATTTCGAGTCCATCTTACACAAGTCAGATGCGGCCTCTATTTATCTCACAATCATCCACGAGCTCGCAAATTATAAATAATTAGAAGAAAGGTGAGGATTATATATCATCGACAGAGAGAAAAATTCGCTAGCTGCGCGCATTCCTACAAAGATTCTTTCTTAGCGTTGAAAAAATATAATGGAACACGCGGATGTGCGAACGCTTAAGAGCTTCGAATCGAAGGCCGAGGAAGTCAACGAACTTATGGGCGGTGCCGCTTCGTTCGTGATTATTCTATAAAAGAGGAAGGCCTCGTCCTAAGGCAATGACGAGTGACTGAAGGATTCATTGCTCGGCTCGAACGCGATTAGCTTGATTCTAGTTCGGAAACTCAGAAAAAGTAAGAAAAGGTAGCAGCGTCTTAATACAAATCGATCAAGCCACTCCGCGGTGTCTACGACAATTCGATGTCCTCCGAAACTCCTTCATTTCTATCCTTTCCATCACTCGGCGTTCCATTGTGACTCAAGGAACTTCGTTTCTAGTCGATCCTCGTTCCTTTACGACCCACGAAATTCTCTCTCTCTCTCTCTCTCTCTCTCTCTCGTTCGCCAACTCTGGTCGAGTCGTGTCCACGTTGGGATCCACGTTCGACTATACGACACTTCCTCAACGTTCCGTTTTTACTTCGCGCTCTCCGTCGGTGGTGGTGGCAGCGGGATTGCTTGCTCGGACACCGGTTGCTGTTGCTGCTCCTTCTTTTTCGTCTTTTTTGCCTTCTTCTGCAGCCTCGGCGATTCCGTCGAACTCCGCTGGCCGTCGTTCACTTCCGTTTTTCCCTCCGTCGTTTCCTTCGTCTGTTGCTTTGATGTCGCGAGTTTATTTTCCATTGTTCGTAACACGTCTTTTTGTTGTTCTTCATCCTTTCCATCACTCGGTTTTGATTCCTTGCTTGTTTCGACCGCGCATTTTGTTGATTCGTCTGTCGCGACAAGCTCTTCCGCTACTAGATTCTCTATTTTCTGTTCGGTAATCTGCTGTCCGGTAGGAATAACGTTTTGATTTGCTGATTCGACAGCTGTTGTCGCACTTTCACTTTCCGAGGATTCCACTTTCGTCTGCAAAACCGAAACAAAACGCCAAAAAATAAGATAATTCGTATAAATATTGCAATCGTAAAAATGAAATAATTTGTTGTAAACAAAAAAAAAGATAAATAAAAGATGAAATATAATTTGGAGAATAAAACAAATTTAAGTTAAACTAAAATTTTCTATACAGTTGACAAACATCCTGTATTTTAACGTCACTTCACTCGCGATTTCTCACCTTCGTCGGCGACGACGGTATCGGCGGAAGCGGTATCGGCTCGTTACTAAGCTTCTCTTGCTTCGCGTCTACCTCCATCGGCTCAGGAACGTGCGAGATCTCTTCTTCCAGCTGATCTTTGTCAGAACACTCCTGAGCCTCTTTATGCGCGGTGGGTTGTTGTTCCTGCAAAAGGTGTTTTTGTCTCCAGCAAGCCAATGGTATCTTGAATGCTCTTGATGGCGTTCTTCCGCGCCTGTCGCACGTTCTCCCGACCTTCCGTCTCTATGTCATCTAGCTTGATTAATTCGCGCGTCAGCATCTCGTCCAGGTACATGTACTCCTTGTCCTGCCGAGAGCCACCAACGTAACGTCGTACCTCCTCGGCCAGATCGTCCACTTCCTTTTGTACCTGAGCCACTCTCTCGAGGGAATCCTTTGGCAATGGAGGCTTTGGTTTTGGTATTTCTTGTTGTTGTTGCTGCTGTTGCTGTTCCTGTTCCTGATGAGGTTGAGGTTGCTGAGTCTGCTGTTGCTCAAAATGATGCTGCGGTTGCTGCTGCTGCTGATATTGGGGCTGTTGATATTGCGGGTGAGGCTGTTGCTGATGTTGAGGCTGTTGATAATAGTATTGGGGTTGCTGATGTTGTTGCGACTGAAACTGCCGCCGCATTGGTTGTTCAAAACCTGTTGTCTTATAAAACGTCTGGAAATTCGACGGTGGCCACTGCTGCCGATTGAAACGTTCGTTAAAATGTGAGGGTCTGTGGAAGTGATGCGCTGGTGGCGACGATCTGTCGAAGTGGTGAGACGGCGGAGACGATTGTTGCTGCTGGAAGGTGGACGGCGGCGCGTCGTCTGTGGCGACCTTCGGCATCACCGGCACGTCGCGACCCTCCACGAAGATGGGGATATGTCGGACATTGCTGGTTGGTTTACCAGGCGACTGCGCACGTTGCTGATTGTGCTGCGGCGTGATATCTACTCGGGACACGAATCTCTGACCTTGACCAGGTTGCGGTGGTAGTTGCTGTTCTTGACCCGGCTGTTGCTGTTGCCAGCTCTCCGTCGGTGGTGCCGACATCGAGCGCTGACCGCGCTCGTCCTTCTCCGGACTCGTCTCCATGTCGCGGCGTCGCTGTTGCTGGCCAATATCCACTGTGTTACGTAGACCGTACTGCGGTATCGCAGACGATGACGTCAAGTCGTGCTCGCCACCGCCGCCGCTGTGCGAGCTGACGGCACTCGCACCACTCGCGGCACTGCTACCACTTGCCTGACTACGAGCGTCCTCGTCCTGATGCTGCTGACCTTGCTGCTGCTGGTCGTCGTTGTTGCTACCACGACGTCGGCAGCGACGGTCGCGCAGCAGGGAACTGTTGAACGGCCAAGGCGGACCGCGCAGGTGCTCAGCGAACTCGGGGTGGCGCGCCGCAAGATCGTCCAGATGCGCGCGAATACCGTCGCTGCGTGGACGCTCGAAAACGTCGGCGTCGTCGTCGAACGGGAACCCCTACGGAGACAGACAAAAATTTGATAGAACCAATGTTCGATTGATGTTGCTAAAATGAGGAATTACCCGTACACTAACAACTAGATGACATGATTCTTGATCGCATTGTGACCTAAAATCGGTTGACAGGTGTTTGACATATGCAAGAGATGAAACATAAGGTTAAAAGATAGAGAACAGTTTATGCAATATTGAATATCTTTCAATCGTGATGAACAAATATTTAAATATAAGGCAAATGTTTAAGAAAATGTGCAATGTTTAATCTGGAAATGGAAGACTATAAGGTTTCTATTCAGTCAAGGAACGCAAAAGATTCTTCAATTATATTTGAATAAAGATATTTTTCAATAAAACAATATTTACAATCGATAGAATAGACTTATAAAATATACCAAAAATTATCTTCTTGTTTCGAGAAATTCAATCATGTTTATTTCTATATATTTTTAATTTGACAGTTTGTCATAGCTGTAAATATAGCTTATTTTGATTTTGGTTATCTAAATATGGTTATCAACTAACGAAACAAAAGGAGAGTTTTCAGTATATTTCAGCCAATCACGATGGACTCGCTGCATCGTGATTGGCTAAAATAGGACCGGCCAACCGTTAAGAGTAAGCAGTAATCGAGTCGACCAATCACAGTCGAGATGAAAGGCAATAACTTTCATCTCTAGCCTTCAAACCAGATAATGGAGATAACCAAATTCGGTATATTCCCTAACTTATGCCGGATTCATATTCCCTAATAAATTAAGGACCACTCTAATCAAATTTCAATTAACTTATGAAGCAATATTATTTTGCTAATGTAGCTAGAATAATTAATTTTTTATTGTTTAATACATAGAAAGAAAGATTAAATGAAGTACGATGAATTATATAGGATGGTCCATAAGTGTTCTGAAAGATTTTAAGGGATGACTTCTCAGATTGATTTAAGACGAAAAAAATTTCGAAAACCACTCGGGTTATTTTTGATGAAATTTTGTGTTTTCGAGTAGTTTTCGAATTTTTAGAGAAAAACGAAATTTTTCCTTCAACTTTGATACCCTGTATTTTCGAAACTGAGCCATTTCAAACACACACTGTTAGAAATGTTCATAAATTTCATTAACTCTTAATGTACACTGTTAAAAATTTCATGAAATTTAATATACTTTTAAGTTACACAATTTGAATTTAATTTCATGATATTACATTAAATTTAATGTATTTATAACTGAAAAGTACGAGTATATTTGTGTACACTGTTAGAAATGTGACCACGAGCTTCATTTACATGTAAATGAAGCTTGTGGTTATGAACGAAATTAAAGTAATGAATGATTTAACTGAAAATTAAGTTACAGTAGTTACTTAAATGTAATGAACGTGTACATTAAATTTATGAAATTTAACGTACTTTTCATAAAATTTTCTGGAAAGTACATTAATGTTCATGAAAAATACATTAAATTTAATGTAATGTCATGAAATTAAGTTCAAATTGTGAAAATTAAAAGTATATTAATTTTTTTTCATGAAATTTTTAACAGTGTACATGTACATGAAATTTTAAGTATTTTTCATGAAGTTTTATGAAATTTAATGTACACGTTTATTACATTTAAGTAACTACTGTAACTTAATTTTCAGTTAAATCATTCATTACTTTCAATTTCGTTCATAATCACGAGCTTCATTCACATGTAAAGAAAGCATTTCTAACAGTGCATGGTCATATGAAGTTTTTATAATGAATTAATGTAAAGGAATCTCTCCTCAAAAATTAAATCTTTTAGAATACTTGAGAATCACTCTGTATAGCTAGAAATTTTGCAATAACTATTAGTTGAGTTGATTGTTGACCAAGTTAATTGAAGTTTTTCTTCGAAGTCACCCTAACGGCAACAGCTGTGCGTGACATTCAGTCTCGACTTCGATCCGAACGCGAGCAAGGGCGCTGAAGGGGAAATTCGCGTAATCGGGCACGAGGTGACGAATCCTCCTTCTCTTCCCTCTCCTTCTTCTCTTCCTGCGGCGAATCGAGGTCGCCTCGTCGTTCCACTTAGCGGACATACGTTGTAAGAAAACCATACACGGGACGCATACGAGAGAAAGAAAGAGAAAATGAGAGAAAAATGGCAGTAGAAGGGACAGAGAGAGAGAGAGAGAGAGAGAGAAAGAATTGGGAGAACCTCTTACATACGAGCACCTATACCCAGCAATCAGATTTTCCTATTTTCGGCCTGGCTGGCCATGGCCAACACGCCACCACCGCATTAAATTTTCGCCTGTCAACCGCGAAAATGACCCGCAACAGGATAACATCGCGCCCGGATACTTACATATTCTTTTTTTAATGCTAAATTTAGAGGGCCTTCAATCCAAATATCCATTTTTGACGCACTTAATCCTGCATCGCTTGCTATTATCGCGGACGACTGAATGTCGAGATGCTTTGGCTGTCTCTTCCAGTCGAATTTATTTTAACACGCACTATAAAACGGTTTTGCTGAAGTATCCAAACATTCAGCTAGATACAGATAGATAGACAAATAGATTTAAAAAATAATTTTGTTTGGATCAAAGTAATTATATAGGACTCTCAAAGTACAAGGAAAGAACAGTTTTGAACTAAAATATCTAAAAATTTAACTAGATACAGACCTGAAAATAATCCTAAATCATCGCCATAAAAATTTCTCAGCCTAAAATTCCATAATTTCCTCTGATGCTTTCAATAATATTTTAAAATTTTTTGTATCTTCGTTCTGATTTGGAAATTAAATATTTTGTTGAGAGACAATTTAACATAGCAATGTAAATTACTATTATAATATTGTTGACATTACTTGTGTATTGTTAAGTTAGCATAAGTATTCCAAAACTGCGTAGATACGCATATCAAACTTCTTTAAAGCCAAGAATTTTAATCTTCCAGAAAATTTTGCAAAATTTCCTGATTTCCCTGATTTTCAATTTTGTATAATAATAACCCTGATAATTATGGTCGAACATCAAAATAATTATGTATAAGTCACTCTAACTGGTTGCTAGAATGTTAAAATTTTTTGCAGTATTGTCATCAACGTTTGAGCGTTCTACATAATTATTTCGATGGTCGAACAAAATTATTTTCAGATTTGTATGCAGCTAAATTTTTAGCTTCAGTAAACTGTTCTTTTCATGCAATCTCGAAGAAACGGGAAATTCGTTTTTCCATCTTCCTTCTCCCCCTCTTCGCTTTTACAGGTTTCTTTTATTTCCGCCGGGTGATATCATACGGGGGAAACGATCGCTCGGTCTCGTTTCTTTTCGGTTTTCGGTCTCCGTCTTCGTTGGAGCACGCGCAAATACGCCCACGCGTGCACGCGAATCATCCATCGCGTTCCAGAACGCCGAGAGAGAAACGTCATCGGGACGTGTAAGAGCCACGTTACAGAAAGAGTCAATCATATGAAGTAATCCCTCTTTCCGTCCCTCTCCTTCGCCGCACATATCGGCGATCTCGCCTAATCATATGGCCGGTATTGAGCGTAGGAAGGTATCTGATAACGTGACCGGTATGACGTCACGCCGCGCCTTTTGACGTCGTCGTGCCGTCAAGCCCGTATCAGACTATGCATCGGATACCGAGGTTTGCGAATTGGAGATTAAGGACTGCAAATCGAAGATTGCATCAAGAAACAGTTTTGCTAAAGTATTTGAGTAATTAAGTTAGATATGAAAATAAAATTTTGTTTGGACCGTCAAAATAATTATGTAGAACATTCAAACTGATTGCTACACTAAACAAAAGTTTTCAAATTTTAATGCATATTTCTTTGAATAGCACTAAATAAGTAAATATTTATATTTATAGTAAATAAATATCTACTCAATAAAAAATAATAGTTGAATCAAATTAATAATTCTTATACTAAATAAATATATGTTTACATTTAGTAAATATTTACTTAGAACTATATATTTATATATATATATTATTCAAAGATATTTATTAAAATTTAATTTTCTTCAGAGTAAAATATTAAGACTATATTTTACAATATTATCATCAACGCTTATAAGCTTCTATAAATTTATTTTGATGATTCAACAAAATTATTTTCAGATCTGTATCTAAATTTTTGAATACTTCAGCGAAACCGTCCTTTCCGCATAAGATTCGACCAATCAGGACACAGCGAGCTAGAATTACATTCATCCGATTGGTCGAATTCTAATCACCAATTCGCGATCCTCAATTTCCAATTCGCTACCGTTAATCTCCAATGCATGGTTTGATGTGGGCTTTAGTGATATCGACCGCAATAATAACGACGGTCTTTCGAGACGTCTAAATAGGTTTCATGACATCATGACTGTTGCGTTTGACGGTCACGCATCGCGATCGTTCACGATAATTCGATGATACATTGATACGAACGTCGGTTTTTTTTTTTTCATCATGTTTGTTTCGAGAATTCGTATTTCATATCATCGAAATATCAATTAACGATTAAGATAAACTTCTTTTACGACCATTACAGTAATGGAACTCAAAAGTTCTTGACGAATATCGTGATATTCGTGATGAGACGATAATATCTCGATTTTTGTATTTCCCCCCTCTTTTTTTCGCGAACGACGCGTTCCGTCGCGACGCGTTCGAATGCGACGCGAAAAATACGGCGCGAATGCTATTTCTGATTTCCACGCGATCTCGAAACGCGGAATGCGAGGAGCAGCGACGGATGGAGAGGGAGGGCTATATATCGGCAGTGAGGAGAACGTGAGGAACGTATGGAAATATCTCGTGTGCGTCGATGATTCCATTAAGATCTGGATCGTGTCTTCTTGGAAGCGTGAAACCAGACGGAACCCAGTAAACGCAATGTTACATGTAACGTACATGTAACATGGAATGTCAGCTCAACAAGATAACTGTAATATATAACACAGTGTGTTATATTAGTTACCTTGTTGAGCTGACATTTCATGTTACATGTACGTTACATGTAACATTGTGT